GGGAATAATAATAAAAATAGTAATGAAAATAATAATACAAAAAAGAAGATGAAGAAGACGACGAAGAAGCTCCGCTGCCGCCAACACTGCCACTACCACTGCCCTCCATGGGTGCCAAATCCATGCAAGGTGGTAAAATTTGGGAGAAAGCAGTGATAAAGTGGTAAGGTTTAAACCTCTTCTGTGTATTTGCCGTGCCCCTGATCTGGATTGCAGGCTTCAGCTTGCACTAAGCTAAACGAAATGGTGAGGATCAGCTACAGAACTGTGTACTGAACATACGTAGCCTGCAGTAGAGCCCTCTTTGAAATATCACATGATCTGGTACCACTGTGTTATTCAACATGAAATGAATTGCACCTGTATTGTTTGTTTTTGATGGTTCTTTCGTTTGTGTATGTCTATAGCATGCATATTTGAACAGGATCTTGATGTAGCAGGTGGTGATCAATCTCTTGAAAGTGTGATGGGCAAACTTCTCAGGTTCAACTCAGATTGTGCCTGGCAATTATGAGTGAAAGAAAAAAACTCAGAAAAGAGAAGTGTCTTTCTTTCATTTTTTTTTCTTTCTTTCTTGTTTCTCTAAGGCACATAAGACAACCGGCTTACCTTTTATACACTCAAGAGATGGAAGCCTCTGAGATTTGAGGCTCCTGCTTATCCTTTGCTTGCACAGTGGGAGGCCTAGTGGAGGCCATTTGCCTTTGCCTTGTTCAGTTCAGGTGATTTTCCAGTTTGGTGGCAGTGGAGACTGTGCATCCAAAAAATAAATTATGACCAACACAATGGAAAGTGACAAACAACAGTAAGCATGCATTTCCAAAACTTTAAAGCAGTATGCAATCCGGTATTAAAAATAGCAAAAATATGCAATAATCAGCCAGCTAAAACTAAGCAGTTGTAATGAAACCATTTTAACTAAAGGCTAGCCAGAACAAATTAGCTTTTAAAGCCTTTTCTGAAGGCTGCCACTTATCTGGACAATTGTACATCTATAGGGAGAAAAGCCAGTAAACTAGGGGCCACCAATGAAAAAGTCCTGTCTCTAGTGCTCAGCCAAGTGATATAATGGCAGTCTAATGAGCCAGGCTTCTAAAATAAATTATATGCTTTATTGAATTGTCTCTGTTGTATAAACTGTAAGTTTGTGCTGACATCGGACAGAGTTGCATTGATTTATAACAGCCAAGCTGCACTCTTGGTATTTGTTTATGATAAGCCAGAAGGTCTCGGAACACCCAGATGTGCATTGCCTGTAAGGACAAGTCTGTACTTCCTTGTTCTGTTATTCTGTCCTCATGGATCATGTTGTGGCTTGAGGCTCACTCAGTGCCATAAGTCAAAGCTATCACAAGGCACTTCTCTCAATCACTGAACTGGTAAAAGATGAACTCTTCTGCACCTTCCTGCCTGAGATAGGGAAGATCCTGAATTTCTGACCTAGAAAAGATTGCCTCTACACAAATGATTTTGTGCAGCCAGGTAGATGTCTGCCTGTTTTGTCAGATGGGGAAAGTATCAAAAACAGTAGAACTTTGCCCTGTTATTTGTCTGATTGTAACTTTATGAACTTTATGTGAGCTTTTATTACTTAATTTCTTGGTTTGTAAAGCTGTGTATGCTCTGAGATGGGGGCAACATATTCAGATTATCTTCCTCCATAGTAATACCCACTCCTACTTGCAAATTAAGAATATGGTACCCCTTTTAGTGTGACTTGTTGGGAAAAGATTGACAGTTGCTAGAGAGCTACAGCTAAGTACCCCAGTTAGGATTTTTAATTCTGAAACTTAAAGTGTTACCTAGTTCAGAGAGAAAAATATGGGTCGGATAAACCATAGTTTATTGGCCAGGACAAGCTGTGTGCCCATGAAGTCTGGTAAAGTTTCATAATATAGTTTGGAAGAAGCCCTTACTACAGTTTCCTGCTTTCAATGTGATGGGAAAATGGGATTAAGGAACTAAAATAGCAGCAATGAAGCTGACTGTGTAGGGAGGAGAATGCGGAAGAGGCACACTGCTGGTTCCCAAGCTGATGAACCATGGCTTATCAAACAAGGATCCTATGTGAACTGCAACACCGTTCTTTGCTCAGAAGGCATGTCAGCTGTTGATTTGTAGTGTGTGTCAAAACATTTTGTACTGGTGAAGCTGAAGTATCCATTGGCCTGAATAGTCATCTGATTCTTTTTACTGTGATCCCCGGAGTGCAGACTTACCAAATAATCACAGGAATAATTGGTTACACACAAACATTTTTTAAAAAAAAAAATACATTACCAAGTTACTCCTCCCAGCCATTGCTCTACCACTTTTTCTTTTGCTGCATTTTGTCAGCATTTTGACAAAAATTGTTATTTTCAATCTTCCCTCTGTTAATTCTCTGTTTGTGACCTTCAACTAGGGAGTTCAGCAGAAAAGCTGTATTTTAAAAGAGCACACCACAATGTATATGGGTACTGGGAAAGGAAGCAGCATTTATATCAGTCCATTCATAAGATGAGTATATATGTCAATGACATATGTCTGGTATCCTGATATATGTCAGGAGTGTAGAAGCTCAGGCCAGGGACAAAATCTGGTTTGCCTGAATTCCCAGATTGACACGCCCCCCCCCCCCCCCCCACGGTTCTCCAGACAGCCACACTGTGCTCCATTTCTCACAACCACCAATCATTTGGTGTTTTCCTGCCTTTTTGGAGTTCTAATTCTAAAACATTGAAATGACTGTCCCAGAGTTCAGTTACTATCAGTAAGAGCTTGAACCAGATACATCCTGGTATTGCTTCTATTTTTAGTTCTGTTCTTTTTGCGTTTGGCTCACTCACCACTGGAAGGTACCCTGAGAGCTTCTTCAAAATGGAATTTGACCTCAAGGAAGTTCAGATTATTAACCTTAATCTGAAAAGGGGAAAGAGAATCGCCGAATCATAGAATAGTAGAGTTGGAAGGGGCCATGAAGGCCATCGGGTCCAACCTCCTGCTGTTGCAGGACACCAGGTTACACCACTTAGATGGCTGTCCAGTTTCTTTTTGAATGTCTCTAGTGTGGGAGAGCCCACCACCTCTCTAGACAGCTGGTTCCACTGTCATATTGCTCTGACAGTGAGGTATCTCTTCCTGATGTCCAGCCTGAATCTGGGGTGTTGAAACTTGATTTGATTGTTTCATGTTCTACACTCTGGCACCAGCTAGGAAATCTCTTGACCTTCCTCTTTCTGACAGCCTTTGAGGTACTTACAGAGGGATATCATGTTCCCTATCAGCCTTCTCTTCTCAAGGCTGAACAGGCCCAGTTTTCTCTCAGTCTCTGCTCATAGGGCAGTCTCTGCTCAATGTGGCTTCCTCCATCTGTGTTGTGGTTTTGCAGGAAATTCCCTATCTCAGCATTATTTCACAGTTTAAAACGTTATCAGAGATTATCTTTAAATTAAAAGCGCAGCCTATCAATTGCAGTAACCGTTATGTATACTTACAAACCAGTGTAAGGAATGCAATAGGGCAAGGGGAATAAAAACAAAACATCAATAATTTTAGAGAAAGAGGTATGAAGACAATGTTTTGCATGGAATCTAGTAAAAGTGTTGCAGTTTTGCAAGGACCAGTTAATAATAAACTAGTCCTTCTGAAATCTTAGCAACAATCCGGGAACTGTGGGCTTTCCTACAATAGAGACATTCAAGATGTAACTGGACAGCCTTCTGAGAGGAGTGGTTTAACTTGGTGACCTGCCCTACGCAGGGGTTTGGACCCTATGGAGTTTCTAGCCCCTTCCAACTCTATTCTCTGATTCTACAAAACAGTATCTCTTGATTTGAGCAACTAGAATAACAGTGTCCCTATCTCATCATACAATAAAGTTCTCTGTGTAGGATTATTTCTAACTGGTGTTCATCAGGTCTGCAGGGACAAAAAGCAGGCACAACTATATTTAAGCAGAGCAAGGGGTCATACTTTGAGAATGCCAGTTTTGAAAAAGAGGGGGAGTAGGAAGGATTTAAAAAGGGGAAAACAGCAAGGCATTGGTAGCTTCCACTACCCTTTAATAGCTCTCATGCCCCCAGGATGCTAGATTAAAAGCTGTGGGAAAATAGTGGGAAGGCAATATAGGATAATATGACTGCTGGGAAAACCCTGAAATACCAGAATTGTTCCTGCACCAAGAATGCCTCCAGCGCGCGCGCGTGTGTGTGTGTGTGTGCTGTTTCCTTATTCACAAATAGTTGAATCCTGATTGGCACTGGAGAATTAATTATTTAAAAAATGGATATAAGTAAAAAGAACTTGAAAGCAGAGCAGCCTCCCCAGATGTTCTGCCTGCTTTGGATGCATTAGATGAAATAACTGAGAATTCCTGCATAGTCATGCAGCAGCCAGAGGGTACAGGTCACAAGGCACAGAAAGAGGAAAAGGAAAACATATGCATATCTAACCGGTACAACAGCATGAGAAAAGATACCCAGAGGAGTCTCAGGAGAGACTAAAGAGCAAGAGGGAATGGGACAGAGAACATCGGAAGATGGAGAGGCATTGTCCTGCCTACCCAAGACAATGAGCAGGGAATGTGATTGATTTGATGTTCAGCATTATTTTCTGATTATTTTAGCTTCTTATCCCATATTGCTTCTACTTTAAAATATATTTTTGTACATATGCTTTCAGTAATATTATCTCTATGTCTTTTATGAACCAGAGTAGTTTATCTAAAGACAACCACACATGATACTTGAGGGGATTTTTAGACTGCACAATGGAATGACTGTTTTTCTGCACCCTAGAGTAATCCAAATGTGTTTCTGAAACACCTCTCAAATCTCTTCTGAAAGTGAGGAGAATTCAGTGAACAGTTTGTGATATGGCATGACAGTTTTCTAGTTGAAGGAAAAAGCCAGAATCCCAGTAGATGTACCTGAGGTAGCTCTTTGTTGCTCAAAGAACAGTTGGCTGAACAAATTACTGATGTTTCTATTTGTACGTGTGTGTGTTTTTTGTTGTTGTAGGAGTACAAGAGCCACAGCATGAGAAGGTTATTACGGTGTCTGCTAATGGAAGTATTCACAGTCCAAAGTTCCCATATACTTATCCTCGCAACACAGTACTGGTGTGGCGATTAGTAGCAGTTGAGGAGAATGTGTTGATACAGCTCACTTTTGATGAAAGATTTGGGCTTGAGGACCCAGAAGATGATATATGCAAGTAAGTTACCACAGTTGAGTTTGCATAAACCTAATAAAATCTGATTGATATGCTGATAACATTCTATGAACTTCCTCTTTCCTCTTTACCAGAGTCAATCCTGTTAGATTTTTAATTAGACCTGCCCGTATTGCACGTTGTATCATTTGTGCAAACTTTTACCAATTTTTGTATACAGGCAGTCCCCAAGTTACAAACAGCTGAGTTATGAACACACATACATATAAACAAACTTCCATAAGCCAATTAATTTTTAAAAAGTACTTCAGAAAATTATCATCACCAAAGGGAGAGAGGGAGAGCCTCCAAAGCATAACCATAGAGAACCACAGGAGAAGCAAAAGGGAAGAGGAAGGCCTCCAAAGCCTGCCTTCCTGCCCTGCCCTGCCCATCTGGAGAAGGAAATCCATCCAGCATCTCCTTGTTGCAAAGAAGAGGAACTAGTGAGTTGGGCATCGGGGAGATGGAGATATTCACAGTTTTTCCACTTTCACAGAGGTCCTGGGCCCCTAACCCCCATGAATGAGGAGGGTCAACTATACATGATATACAGATTCAACCCAAGATGAATGTACATTTCTCAGGAATGGAACTTGTTTGTAACCCAGGGACTGCCTGTGTGTGTAAGTTGACATAACATAGAGGGCAGTAATATCTCTTGTTATCTGTAATGTTTTGATTCTCCGTATTCTTCACAGTGTGGTCAAAATGTCTTTCCATCTGATGAACGTGTAAGCATTAAGTGAGGTGCACTTAATGCTTGCTTAGCAACAGGGCAGAAGCTGGGAAAAAATAAATGAAGAAAGAGCATGAAATCAAGCAGATAGATGACTGACCTGGGAACTACAAGTATGTTATGAAAACATACGTTATTTTGGGTGGGTCAGCAATAGTTGCCATCCTCTGCTACAGACTTAAAGTTCTGTTAATATGCAATACTTTGTGTTGTGATACATGGTTCACCTATCAAAAATAAATAGCTTTTACTTGCATTTTATTTGGGGAAGGGTCTTTGAAGCCTGGTGTTTTTAATAGTACTGTAGAGATTGATCCTGTGCATTCTAGAGAGGGTCTAGGAAAACACAGATCCAAGGTTAGAAATAGAACTCTGATGACTTGGATCTGCCCTTTCCTGGTTGTTTCTTTGAGATCCTTAGGACAACTTTGAGATAAAGGGGGTGTTCTGTGGGACAGGAAGTGCTGGAAAATGGAATTGCCAGGACATGATGTGTCCTCATGATGCTTCAGCCTTCCTCCCTCTCCTTTTGAAGTGCCACAGCTAGGTAGCTGAAAACAATATGTGAAGGCACAGGTCATTTCTACTGCTTTCCCAGCCCTACATAGGATGCCTGTAAGCTTCTGAGTTCAAAAGCTTAGCAGAATCCCAACTGGATTGCATCCTTAATACATTTGTATGGGGCTTTTATTATTTTTAATCAAGCTTTATTTATGATAGCAAGCCACCTTTAATTCCATATTTCTTGGCCAAAAGATAGGGTTCACGACAAGTTAATAAATGGTGATAAACATGAAAATACCAGTTCCAAGCAAGGATACAGTATGGTCTTTACTTGCAGAAGATATTTATGAGCAAAAATTGGCCAGAGAACGCCAGCATCATCACTGGTTTTAAGGTATAACAAGTTTGCATGTTAAACTATTTTTCATGTTTGATCTTACCTTATGCAACTGATCACAAATTGTTTTATGGAGTGTATATTCTGCATAAACCACAATGTGTAAGGAGCACAGTATTAAAATGTGAATAAAATTCAGTTCTATGGTAATGCTGACAAATATATTTTATCTACTTGGTAAACACCACATAAGTAGGAACTGTTTTCTACTTTTATTCAATGTACGCAAGAATTTGTGCTGCTACTTTTATTTGCATGATTGATGGACATTCACTGAACATATCCTAAATGCTTTCTTAGGTATTGACATGGAAAATTTAATTGTAAATGGTTTAGTGTCACTAGATGCTGTCTACTACAATGATAGTAAGGCAGTGCTCTAGTTCCAACCTCAAAAACATTTCTGAGCTCAGAATTCTGACAGCACAAACCTCGTGGTTCCTTCCACACTTGCAGTGACTCCAAAGATAGAAGACTGACCTAGGAGCCAGTGTTGGTTGGAGATTCCAGGGGCTCAGGGGGATGAGTAAAGCTTTGCCAGGATACAATGTATGGGCCATTGGCCTCTCTTCTTTACAGGCAGAGAAAAAGCACTTGAGATAGCCCAAACCTGCCATCTAACCATTTTGCCTGGTAGAAGAACCATGAAGGCAATTTACATCCATAATGTTTCCCATAGGATGACCGTAACCCTCTGAGTTTGGTAATAGGCAACCACATTGCATCATGCTGTTAGTTATTTTAACCATGTTACCCAAGCAAACTTACTGAAATTATACATTCTATATCAAGATTTGGAGAGTTTTAAACATATTCCGGGTGTGATAAATTTAAGCTCAGTTTTATTGCTAAGCAACTTAGATTGAATAGTACTGCACCATGAATCTAAACATCATAAAACAGTCTCTGTCCCTCCCTACCCCTATCACTATAAAGCTGGGATTAGAGTTTATGGTGGAGCTTTTGGACAACCATTCAATCATGGATATATTTAGCCGAGCATAGGTTAGAAATTATCCCAAGGAGGGTTCTGCGAATTGGTACTTGGGTTCTGCTTCTGTGCCTAGACAAAAATATGAAACCATTTGAAGTACAACAATAAAATGGTGACTAATTCTTGCAGTTCTTATCACTTCCTTGCTACTGTACATTCATATTTATAAAATGTCCATTTCATACCTGGTCCACCCTCATTTGTGTGCCTTGTCTCTGAAAGAACATGATGAACTCTGCTATTTTATAGCTATATATTCCTGTGTTCTGGAAGTAGCCCAGTGAACTGCAGTAGACCTGTATAGGACCGAGCAGCATGATTCAGAGCATCTAACATGTTTATGTGTTGTGAACTACTCAGACAGCTTTGGCTATTGGGTGGTATAGAAATAATATAATTAAATAAAATAAGCTCTTTATATAAGCTGTTTGATAACCCATGAAACAAGTTGTACCTGTATGCCATGGGAAAGGTAAGAATACATATTATTTGTAAAATAACAGATAAAGTATAGAAGTACTTTTCGTTTTCTGGCAGGAGCAATTAGCTTTGTCTCTGAGCTTTGGTTACTGTTTTCTGACAGCATGTATAATACTGAGTGATGCCCAAGGACAGGTTTGTTGGTATCTTTTTCAGCCTTTCTATGTGGCTAATGTATATCAGTGGATATTTGTTTATAACCTTGGAGAATGTGTCAAGTCAGTGAATTAAATATATGGTAGATACTTTTTGGACCAACCCAGTTATCAGCAGACCTATTGATTTGATAAGATTAATTTTTAAGCACTGTGTTGCTTCAGATTTCTATGTGCAGTCACTGATGTGGAGTATAAAATTTTCCAAAACAGAAAACGTTTCGATATTGTATTATTCCATGGGAATGTTTTCACACCATATATGTCTGCATTTATTCATAGTTGTCTGCGCTATGCATCTGTAATGCAATCTGTCATGTTAGATAGGCTAAATATAGGATATGAATTTTGCAAGTTATTCTTCTAAGACAAGAATGGACAAACCCTGCTCCTCAGTTGCCCTTGGGAGAACTAAAGGCAATTCATTTATGTGCACATTACAGCTACTTCTGACTGGGTCTGAACCAAATCAGTATACAGTGGCTGAGTTCATACATGACAGGCCATGCTTGCTTTCATTGTGGCATGGTCTCTCATGTTGTCATGGTCTTACCTTGTGGTTGTAGAGAAACCACAGAGGGAAGCAGTGTCTATGATATGGTTTCAACATGCTGCCATAGAGTCTAGTAGAAAGATCATCCCCTGCTGGAGGAGACATTCCTGCCTGTATCCTTTGCTATCCAGATCTGTTGAGCGACTGACGCAGCAGCTGCACTTCAGTTGGCTGCTCCATGCTTCCTCCCACCGCTTGCCGTCCAGATGTGCACATGCAGTTTTGGAATGTCCCTGCTAGCAGAGACGTGTGCCTTGCTGCCTCCAGCAGCAGTGACCTTGGAGACAGCCATTTTGGCATTACTATCTGATCACTAAAATTCCAACAAACATGAGCTGTTCTGCCTTTGCTTTCTGGTAGAAACATTTTTGCCCTCTCTGCAACATTGCCCACATAAAGGAAGCACATGATCTAGGCACAGGGCATCACCAGCAGAGCAGTGACCTCTCAAATCCCATGTTCCCTGTGCTGGTTCCATCCATCTCCTCTGCTCCTATATTGTCTGTTGCATTACTTGGGACTGTCAGGAAGCCCTGCTGTCATCTCCCTCTGCCCTCTGAACCCACCTATACCAGCTGCTGCCTCACCACCTTTTCTCAGTGAATCTGAAAGAACTACCTGCAGGAGTTCTACTGGTAGTCCTGAACTTCCACGCCGGCGTGGATGCCAGCCTACTTCCCAGCAGTAGCCACATTAGTCCTCAGGGCTTCCTGCCTGTCAAGCAGAGAGATGAGGGAGTAGGAGATGGAGTCATGGCACAGATGTCCTGCAGCTCACAGAGCTACTGCATTGCTGCCAGCTAGTTATGTGTGTGGATGTGCACATGCAGTTAAGAATGGGTCGTGCCAGGCATAGTGAATTGCAGGAGTAGGACACTTGCATCCAGAAGTTGGATGCATGCTAGCATGGGGTGGGATGCTGTGGCAGGTGAAGAGCAGTATGTGGGCAGAGCTTACACACCAGCAGAAGAGAACACGAGCTTTTATTAACACATGGCATTCTTTTCTGTCTGGCATAGCCACTCTTTCCTTGCACCCATGTCCCTGTGATGCTGCAGAAATAAATATATGTTTGGCCACAGCAGCATTGTTCCTATGAGGATGGCTGACTGTGGACAGGGGAGAAGGAGCACTGCCAGATGAGGCCACTCACAGTGCCGACTGGCATGGAGGAAGGGGTAC